GTTTTGCGCTGTCCTTGGCTCTGAACACAACGTCCCATAAGGAATTGTGACAACCCTCGCGATGGTCTGCTCTTTTGAGGAGGGAACTTCGGGGACATTCAAAGGCGACTGTGTTTCGTGTGGAGATAGCGGCTTGAAGCGGAGACCCAAAAGCACAAATGAACACACCAAAACCAAACCAACAAAAAGAACAACAAGAAGCACACAGCGCTCTTATCCAAGAAGAGAATGTAGGCATATTCCGCAGAAGCAGCAGGACTTTGCGCTCGCCAATCCTGCAGAGCACACCAACGCTGCAGGCAAAACAAGCGAAAGCAGTTAAGAACGCTGATCGTGCCCCAGAAGCAACAGATCTGGTCGACTTAACACGCCCAGAGATAGAAGGCATCAAAAATTCAAGACAGGAGAAAAACACTTCGCCAGCTGTACACCCGACAACGCCAGGACCTATCTCTCCGAGACAGGACTTTATTATCAAGATTAGACTCGCAGAAGAGGAGTCCTTGAAAAAATGCAAAAGCATCGTTCAAAAAATTAAGCAAGCTATAGCGAAACAAAGGAATGTCAGCCTCGAGGTCAAGAATGGAGCTGCACAACTAGAAGAAATGTTCGATATCATCCGAAGCTACCGCAGAAACTGGAAGATGAAAGAAAAAGAGATCTGAAGTGCTGCCCAGGCTAACCTGACAGACACCACGACACCTCTAAAAAGACGGGCGGCAAGCCCACCAGAACAGCAGCCAACTCAGAAAACGCGAAAAGAAAAGGACGGGGAGTGGAAACAAGTGACGAACAAGAAGTTAAAGGCGAAGAAACCGGACGGGAAAGAAAACACGCCAGGCAAACCAAAATCTCCGGAAAAAAAGGCAAACGAGAAGCGAAAAGGCCCTACTTAGTCTAAAAAACTCTCAGACGCCGTAGTGATTAAGCCAGCAGAAGGGAACAGCTACGCAGATGTCCTGAAAAATATTCGCAGTAAGCTGAAATCAAGTGATGAAGTCAAGTTGAAGGGAATCCGGAAAACAAGGGCTGGAGCAGTACTACTGGAGCTAGAGAAGGGGCAATCGGCGAATCCAAGCTTCTGCGAGGTATTAAAGTGCTACCTACGAGAGACCGCTACTGTACCAGACCTTAAACCAAGGGCCACAGTCGAAATAAGAGACCTCGATTTCTTAACGACAAAAGAGGAAGTCGAAGACTCAGTAAGGGGTATGCTGCAAGGATACGACAAAGCTATGAAGATCAACATCTCCGCTCCCAACAGTAGAGAACAGGTGAGGGCCTTCGTCAAGCTCGATGAAGAAAAAGCTGATATAATAATAAAGCAAGCAAGGATCAAAATCGGCTGTATTAACTGTAGAGTGCGACTCAAAGAAAACTGCAAGAGGTGCTTTCGATGTTTTGGCCCTGGCCATCTAATCGGGGGCTGCAAAGGCCCAGACAGAAGAGGGCAAGGCCTCTGTATAAAATGCGGTCAACCAGGTCATAAGCTAAAAGAGTGTAATAAGCCACCAAAATGCTGCTTGTGCTCGGAAGCCAAATACACTGAGCTGGATCACATCCCGAGCTCCATAAGATGCTCAGTATATAGAAACTGGTGCAAGAAATGAATGTCCTGCAAGCCAACATGCACAGAAGTAAAACGGCTGACGCGCTACTGACACAGATGATCACTGAGCGGCGATATGACCTTGTAATCATAAGCGAACAGTATAAGAAAAAAGAAAACGGGATCTGGATAGAAGACAGCAGTGGCACCGCTGCTATATGGGCTCCCCCCGGAAGCAGCATACACATCTCTGAAAAACGACATGGAAACGGCTTCGCCTGGGCCAGATACAACCATATAAAAATAATAAGCTGCTACCTGACACCAAACGATAGCATACAAGACTTCCAAGATAAACTCGACGATACCAAAGATACGGCCATGAACTTGGAAGGACCCTTTCTGATGGCAGGAGACCTAAACTCAAGAGCCACGGAGTGGGGGATGCCAATCACGGACTCCAGAGGCAAACGCGTGCTAGAAATTTCAGCCCGACTCGGATTTATAGTGCTAAATACTGGCGCAGCAACAACCTTCCGAAGGCCAGGATGCGAGGAAACCACGCCAGACATCACACTAGCATCAGGAGGCATAGCAGGCACCATAAAGGAATGGAAAGTATTGAAAGATTACACTGGTAGCGATCACCAATACATCTCTTTTATAATAGACTCCAAAAACGATGGTTTACGAAAGAAGATGCAATGTAGCACTCGCAAATGGAATGTCTCGAAATTAAATAGTGAAGCGCTACTATCTGAAATAAATGCGCATGGCTCAGAAGAATCCTCTCACAATAACGCAATGGAAATAGTAGAGACTACAATGAAAATGATCTCCAGAGCCTGTACCAAAGCGATGCCGACAATTGGAAGCAATCGACACAAAACACCTGCATATTGGTGTACGGAAAACATAGCTGAACTAAGACGAACGTGCCTCCACCTGAGGCGTACTTACAGCAGGGCCAGGCGTAGAAGCGCTGCAATCGAAGAGGCAGCAGCTCGTCCTAATCACCAAAGGAAAGGGAAACATCGACTCACCATCAGCGTATCGACCCCTCTGTATGCTGGACTCAGCTGGAAAACTCTTAGAAAGGCTGCTAAAACCTAGAATAGAAGCGGCTATCGCTAGCGGTGGCGGACTTTCCTCAAGGCAGTACGGATTCAGGCCCGGTAGATCAACAATTGGAGCTATAAAACACGTAACAACATCAGTAGAAGCCGCATACCAACATAAAAAGCTAGTCCTGCTTGCAACCTTAGACGTTCGCAACGCCTTCAACACCGCAAAATGGGAAAATATGATACACGCACTAGAAGAAGTCTACAACATACCCACGTACCTTAGACTCATGGTCAGAAGCTACCTAGAAGGCCGGGAGTTACTGTACCATACCACCGATGGACCCCGGCAAATGACGATCACATCGGAACGTCAGCTACGACGGAATATTAAACCTCGAGATGCCAGATGACACATATTTAGTAGGCTACGCTGATGACATTGCCGCAATGATCCCCGCAAGAGACACCGAAGACGCCCGTCGCAAATTAAACCAGACATGGCTCGACTCACACGGTCTTAAACTTGCAGCAGAGAAAACCGAGCCGCTAATATTGGCTGAGCTCAGGCCACCCGGGGCCACAGCGTGGCGGGCTGTGGACGACCTAACTTGTTAGGCTAGCCGCTAATAACCAATAAGCAGCACCCCGACCAAGAGCGGCTAGAGTGGAGGGTTTGGCTGAAAAGGCCCTACGCACCCAAGGGAACTCCAGTGCCAGGGCGAGTACTCGCCGCCCTTTAAGTAGGCGTTCCCAGACCCTATCAGGGACTACTTCGAGGGAGTACCTACCCCAGAGAGGGAGGCAACAGTGCAACGAGGGATCAACAAAATTAGTTAGATAAAAAGATAACTCTGGGCCAACGCCCATCAATATCGAGACCAGTAAGATCTTGATTACGGTATACTGGAAAAACAATTTTGAATTTACGACTCATGGGCTGGTGAAAGCAGTATTCTATCACTTTAGTAAGCGAGATTGACACCTCTCTGAAATGGCTGGGAGGCTAATGCTGCAATTGCCTCCGTCTCGTTAAAACCGTGGCAGGTCTTCAAGTACGTTCGAGACACGGCCGCACAGGTCCAGTTGAGATTCACTCCTGGTTTTGCGCTGTCCTTGGCTCTGAACACAACGTCCCATAAGGAATTGTGACAACCCTCGCGATGGTCTGCTCTTTTGAGGAGGGAACTTCGGGGACATTCAAAGGCGACTGTGTTTCGTGTGGAGATAGCGGCTTGAAGCGGAGACCCAAAAGCACAAATGAACACACCAAAACCAAACCAACAAAAAGAACAACAAGAAGCACACAGCGCTCTTATCCAAGAAGAGAATGTAGGCATATTCCGCAGAAGCAGCAGGACTTTGCGCTCGCCAATCCTGCAGAGCACACCAACGCTGCAGGCAAAACAAGCGAAAGCAGTTAAGAACGCTGATCGTGCCCCAGAAGCAACAGATCTGGTCGACTTAACACGCCCAGAGATAGAAGGCATCAAAAATTCAAGACAGGAGAAAAACACTTCGCCAGCTGTACACCCGACAACGCCAGGACCTATCTCTCCGAGACAGGACTTTATTATCAAGATTAGACTCGCAGAAGAGGAGTCCTTGAAAAAATGCAAAAGCATCGTTCAAAAAATTAAGCAAGCTATAGCGAAACAAAGGAATGTCAGCCTCGAGGTCAAGAATGGAGCTGCACAACTAGAAGAAATGTTCGATATCATCCGAAGCTACCGCAGAAACTGGAAGATGAAAGAAAAAGAGATCTGAAGTGCTGCCCAGGCTAACCTGACAGACACCACGACACCTCTAAAAAGACGGGCGGCAAGCCCACCAGAACAGCAGCCAACTCAGAAAACGCGAAAAGAAAAGGACGGGGAGTGGAAACAAGTGACGAACAAGAAGTTAAAGGCGAAGAAACCGGACGGGAAAGAAAACACGCCAGGCAAACCAAAATCTCCGGAAAAAAAGGCAAACGAGAAGCGAAAAGGCCCTACTTAGTCTAAAAAACTCTCAGACGCCGTAGTGATTAAGCCAGCAGAAGGGAACAGCTACGCAGATGTCCTGAAAAATATTCGCAGTAAGCTGAAATCAAGTGATGAAGTCAAGTTGAAGGGAATCCGGAATCTATATCTATATCTATATCTATATCTATATCTATATCTATATCTATATCTATATCTATATCTATATCTATATCTATATCTATATCTATATCTATCTATATACGGGAGTGGTCCCAAATGTACCCGGCCTAACCTAGAGATGGCGGTAGTCGTTTGAAAAATATCACTGTGTTAAAAAGTACACAATCTATAAAGCATATGTTTCAAGTTTGAAGACGCTTGGCAGTAGTAGTAGTAGTGAACGTATTCAGTTAATTTGGGAAAATGGAGAAAATTGGTCATCGTTATGTGATACAATACTTTTATTTGAAAGGCCTCAGCCCATCCAATATAAAAGCTGAAATAGATTCTACTTTGGGCGGGTCTGCCCCTTCGTTTACAACAATAAAATATTGGGTAGCAGAGTTTAAACGAGGCCGTACGAGCTGCCAAGAAGAGCATCGCAGGGGTCAACCAAATGAGGTAACGACTCCAGAAATGGTGAAGAAAATCCAGAAAGCGGTAATGGATGATCGTCGACTGAAAGTGTGCGAGCTAGCAGATATAGTAGGCATTTCAAAAAGTACGGTACATCGCATACTATCTGAAGATTTGGATATGAGAAAGCTGTGTCCAAGATGGGCGCCGCATTTGCTCGACCAAAAACAGTGTCGCGAAGAGGTTTCAATTGAAGAGGTGCCAATTTTACTTTGCAAACCGTTTTTGCGTTTCAACGCTATTTTGGCTAACGCAAAAGTTCTTATCAGGCGCCGCGAAGCGTATGACCGCGATGCTTGACCAAACGGCTCAACCGATTTCAATTCTGTAAAAAGCACTTTTTTTGACCTTCTGTGTGAAAGGTTTTTCGATTAATTAAATTCAACACATTTTCTTGTTGTTGCCACAGAATTAAAAAAGCTGAGCGGTCGCGATTTCACAATTTCATTGAGTTTTTCTTATATTGTATGTCATTAAACTACTAAACGGCTAGACCGATTCGATTCATATTTGGAACATACTAGTAATTACCCCCCGAGATTCGGGAGAATTCATTAAAGAAATACTTGCAGATACTAATTATTTAAACTTAAGTAAAAACTAAAACGTGATGTTCATGAATATACCTCAGTATTTAGCACAAAATTTATTTAAAGAACTTCGCGAAAGTCAACAATTATACTTGTAGTGCTAGAGACCTGATAACCCAAGATAATTTTTAAGTTATTAAAGGGCCTTACTCTACTCATAGCTTCGTACAGCGGCCCGTGAGAAAACAGTAATTTTTAAGGAGTTGAGATCTGACAATTTTTTGATAATCTATGGAGCTTGCACTTTAATTTGATATACAACTCAATTCTGTAGCTACTCCAGATCGCCCTAACTAGGTCGTATGACTGAGCAATTATATATAGATACGTTGAGAGTGAGTCAAGAAAATGTTTAAACGCTTATTTTTAGCACCTACTTCACCGATTTGAATTCTGACAATTTTTGTATAACCTATGGAACTTGCACTTTAATTTCATATACAACTCAATTCTGTAGCTACTCCAGATCGCCCTAACTAAGTCGTATGACTGAGCAATTATATATAGATACGTTGAGAGTGAGTCAAGAAAATGTTTAAACGTTGATATTTTTACACCTACTTCACCGATTTGAAATCCGATAATTTTTGGATAACCTATGGAGCTTGCACTTTAATTTCATATACAACTCAATTCTGTAGCTACTCCAGATTGCTCTAACTAAGTCGTATGACTGAGCAATTATATATAGATACGTTGAGAGTGAGTCAAGAAAATGTTTAAACGCTTATATTTTAGCACATGCTGCACCGATTTGAAATCTGACAATTCTTGGATAACCTATGGAGCTTGCACTTTAATTTGATATACAACTCAATTCTGTAGCTACTCCAGATCGCCCCAACGAAGTCGTATGACTGAGCAATTATATATAGATACGCCTACATCACCGATTTAAAATCTGAAAATTTTTGGATAACCTATGGAGCTTGCAATTTAATTTGATATACAACTCAATTCTGTAGCTACTCCAGATCGCTCTAACTAAGTCGTATGACTGAGCAATTATATATAGATACGTTGAGAGTGAGTCAAGAAAATGTTTAAATGCTTATATTTTAGCACCTACTACACCGATTTGAAATCTGACAATTTTTGGATAACCTATGGAGCTTGCACTCAACTCATTTCTGTAGCTACACCAGATCGCCCAACTAAGTCGTGTGACTGAGCAATTATATATAGATCACAGCACCTTGCAGGAAGATATTCCCACTATAAATTTAATCGCTAGGTGGCGCTGGGCTCAGGATATATATACAAACTGTACTTAGTTGCAGATTTGGCTAATATTTGGAAAATTTGTTAGCCAATTGAAAAGGAATATTTGAACTAAAAAATTACATGGTTGGAGGCGCTATTGTCAGAATATTCCTCATGTTCTTATACAGTGGGAGAATGATGGATATCTACACATGTATATACGTCACAATAATATGTCGAAACATCTTGTTTGAGGGCACCAATATATCTCTTAAACCAACTACGCTTGGGAACTGAAACTTGGCTACATACGTTATCAGTAGCGTACTTATGGTGAAAAGTGGCAGATATTGGAAAAGGGGGCGCGGCACCTCCCGTACAAATGTAACTTCTCGTATCGCCAATCTCTGGACCCGCCTTATGCTAACATCCTAAATTTTAAACAGCCACATATGTTATCAATTTCGTATTTTCAGCGAAAGGTGGCAGGTATTGGAAAAGGGGGCGTGGTACCTCCCATACAAACTGAACTTTTCTTAATGCTTTTCCCTGGAACTGCTTAAGCTAACGTCCTGAAATTTGACACAGCTACTTATGTTATCAATATCGTATCGAAAAGTGGTAGGTAAGGGAGAAGGGGGCTTGGCACCTTCCTTGCAACCTGAACTTTTCATATCGCTTATCTCTGGAACCGCTTATGTTAGCGGCCTGAAATTTAACATGGCTACATATGTTATCAGTAAACACATTGGCATGGTACCTCCCATAAAATCTGAACTTTTCTTAACGATTTTCCCTGAAACTGCTTAAGCTAACGTCCTGAAATTTAACACAGCTAGTTGCTGTCTCCATTAGCGTACAACCATTGCAGAGATCCATCAGTTTTATCGCAAGCGAAATGCTCATCGCAGAAAAATTTTGGTACTTGTCATCGCAAAAGAGTTCATTTCAAAAAGTGCTTACGACACATGAAAAAAATTACTGTATTCGCAAAAATGGCTTACTCCACGTTGTTTTGAGTATACATTGTCACCTGAGAGGACCTATTTCGGCAGCCAGTTCGAAAACGCCCTATCTCAAAAAACTTTTCAAGAACGCCCTACTCCAGAATTTAATTGAATAACGCTCTATTCAGAATTTGATTGAAAAACACCTAATCTCAGAATTTGGTTGAAGAACGTACTATTTCAGAATTCGGTTCAAAAACGCCTTATCGAGGCTGAAAATACATTGAAAGTGTACTGAGATAGGGCGTTTTTGAATTGGCAGCTGAGATAGGGCGTTCTTCAACCAAATTCTGAGATTTGGGGTTTTTCAATCAAATTCTGAAATAGTGCGTTCTTGAAAAGTTTTCTGAGATAAGCGGTTTTCGAACTGGCTGCCGAGATAGGTCAACTTCCCTCAGGTATCGATATATTATAGAAAAACATAACTTCATCAAAATTTAAAGTGAAAACAAGCTGTGAAACTAACTATTTACCAGTTCACCTTGCGCCGGAGATCTATCGCAGCAGATGAACAATCGCTAATGGAGACAGCAAGTTGCGGCTAAAAGTGGTAGTTATTAGAATGGTTGCATCTATATACATATACACAGATAGGCAATCATCATTCTACTAGGAACTATTTTCTCCTAGATTTCTAAATCGCATTGAGCGATTGCTTCTTTTTTTATTTTTGGGAGAGGGTAACAATTTTGTAAGAATTTTGAAGAGTTTTTACTAAATTTTGCACAATTTTGTGTTTGGTCCTATGTTTATTTTAAACGAATTTACTTTTCAGTTGGCTAAATGAAATTGTGTAAGCGCACCTTTGTCTGACGCCCTCATACACCATTGATGCGATCTTTTATTTACTTCTGATAAACGAAATTGCTCGGGCGGCCGTCATTGCGGCGGTAAGACTCAAAAAACCAATTCATAAATATTAAGACGAATTGTAAAAGGAACACGGTTGGTATATCAATGACTTCATTTGAACGATATTCATGAGGTCAAACGACTCATTTAGCCAATATACGGGAAAACTTTTCATCCTGTAGGGCAGAGAGGATTCTTGGCACTCTTATAACAGAAAACGCTCATCTGTCCTCTTCAGTTTCCTTATAAGCATTTTAATTGGCTTACGCATCGGGCCAATGTTGTAGTTGCAAGATCATAGAAGATTTTGCACGCTTGGCAGAGATTACACAGTTGGAAATAAGGACATCGGTAATGCTCATAAGATCGAAAGCGATTAGTATTCCATATAGCATCACAGCGCTACTATTGTTGGCCCATGTGTGAGAAGGATTCTGCTCTGTAGTCATTTCAACTTTTTTACATTACAGACCGTTTTTCCTTTTAAAGGCTATTTTTGGATTGACCCACGCAAAAGTTATTAGGCGCCGCGAAGCAAGCTGGCATTGGCTAGTCTATATATATAAAAATGAAATGTTTTCCGTATGACGGCGATGACTCACCAAACGCTTGGCCCGATTCCAATTCTGTAAAAAGCACATTTTTGGACCTTCTGTGTGGAAGATTCTTTGATTTAAAAATTTTTTACATTTTTTGTTGTTGTTGCCGAAAAATGAAGAAAGCTGAGACGTCATGATTTCACAATTTCATAGAGTTTTCCGTATATTGAATGTCACTAAACTACCNTAGGTGGCGCTGGGGTCGGGATATTCATAAAAATTGCATTTACTTGCTGATTTGGCTCATATTTAGAAAACAATTTAGCCAATTTAAAAGAAATATTTGGACTTGAAACTTATACGATAGGTGGCCCTGTGGCCGAGACATCCCCAAAAATTATTTTACGCTAAGAGAAGGATATATCTACTATATATTTGTGGAAGTATGTATGTATGTATGTATGTGCCACGTTGCAGCCTAAACGGACGGACAGAATCGAACAAAATTTTGACAGAGTATTGCCATGACACCTGGACCTATAATAGGGTAACAAAATTGGGATTCGACAAGGGGGCGTGACACCTCCCATAGGCGTGAAATTTTTAATCAGCCATAACTTCGAAACTATAAGTCACATGAACTTGAAATTTGGTATGGAGTCATATATATGGTAGGTGTTTACCGTAGAGTATATATAAATGACTTTGTAAAAGTGGGCGTGGCACATCTCATAGGCGTAAAATTTGTTATCAATCATAACTTTGGAACCATAAGTCGCATGAACTTGAAATTTGGTATACTGTCATATATATGGTAGGTGCTTATAGTATGGTATAAATAAATGAGTTTGTAGAAGTGGGCGTGGCACATCCAATGGGCGTGGAATATTTTATCAGCTATAAATCCGAAACTATAAGTCATATGAACTTGAAATTTGTTATTCAGTCATACATATGGTAGGTGCTTATAGTAGGGTATATATGAACGAGGTTGTAAAAGTGGGCGTGGCATATCCCATAGGAATATTTTATCAGCTATAACTCCAGAACTATAAGCCACATGAACTTGAAATTTGGTATGCAGACATAACTATGGTAGCTGCTTACAG